CCTTACCAAATTCCACATTCTCCTCTCCCAGGGTACATCTACACAGCAGGGCTAATGTCAAATTAAGCTACACAACTTAAGCTGTGCAATTGGTGTAGCTGAAGTTGAATAGCTTAACTCAGCGTTAGGTAAGGTCTATACAGCAGGAAGTTGAAAGAAGAACACTCTTCTTTGGACTTCCCTTAGCCCTCATGAAATCAGGGCTACCATGAGTCAGTAAGAAGTCCTCCAGCTCGACATTATATTGAAATAAAGGCTTGTAGTGTAGACATGCTCTTTGTTATTTTGGAATAATATTATTCTGAAATTATGCTGCTGGGTAGACGTACCCCCAAACATCCTAGAATGTGTGGGGAAGGCCCATGAAGACTTTAAATCAACTCTCAGGGATGGCTCTTGGAGTAGAAGGCTGCCATTCCCACAGCTGTGATTGCTACACAGCTGTAATAAGCCATATGTCCTTGTGCTTCCCCTCCTTCTCAGAGTCTAGGGATACCTACTACTCCTTTTCTGTTCAGTTACATCTGTGTTCCCCATGTTTACTAAATAAGAAACACATGATTTCAGAACAACGAGGTCTTTATTCATTTTGCCATTTCTGTTGGTTGGTTGGGGGAGGCAGCACTAGTTGTATAGGGAAGTACCTGTGCAACAGGGAGAAGCTTGGTAATGAGCAACATATGAAACTGTCACATCGTCTCATCATTCATTCAACTAGTTTTCAAAGCCTATCTGATGTGCAATGTGCCTCAATGTGCTCTCCTTATTACCGTGGTGCCTGGCTGCTCATTATTAGCTACCAAGCCATCTGCCTCAATTCTCTACGCCCTCTCCCCAAGCTCCCCCCCACACACTTTTACAGATATTATATAGCACACAGCAAGCAGCAACAACGGGAATATTGCTTTTGCTGGGGTCTAACCTAGTCAATAAGCTTCACTAACATACTTTTAAATGGTCAAAGGCACATTACCACCACTTGTACATGCTCAGCCTATAATTGAACTGCTCTTTACTGCTGTCCAGGTTGCCTGTGTATGACTTCATGAGCCACAGGAACGAGGAGTAGGCTGGGTCTCCAAAGACTGGCATTTCAGAGTTTCCAATGGTAACTTTCCAGTCTGAGGGAAAAAAAGTTCCATTTTGCACCCCTGATACCAAAGTGTGTGTCTAATTCCCTCTTAAGTGCCTTATTCTTATGGAGGACAACTACCTACTACTGCTACTAGTTATTGTTTAGGGTGAGTCTACACAGCACCTAAAATAAGATACGCAACGTGTGCTTCGCAAACTGTGTAGCTTATTTTGAATCTATTTTGAAATAGCTTATTTCGTCATTTGGTGCAGTCTACACAGCACCAAATTTCGAAATACAGCGCTATTTTGAGCCATCCCATACTCACACAATGAAGTTAAAGGGATGGCAAAATACTGCGTCCGCTCTATTTTGAAATAGTGGATGCATTCAAAAAATGTGGGGTAGCTATTTTGGGATACCTCCGGTATCCCTCTGATATCCTGAAATAACTTTGCTGAATAAACATGCCCTTAGTTCAAAAGGCAGACACCCTGAAGGTCCAAACGCTGCTTATAATCCAAGCTGGGAGTTAATATGGTTCCACATGGTGGAATTTCTATATTTTTTTAAACTTAGTATTAGGAATTGATTTAAAGAACATTAAAGGTTGCACAATCAATGACTCAAAAGTTAGGAAATATCAAATGTAAGTTTGCCTATGCAACCTTCACTTGATCCCATGATAGAGTGGTAGAGAGACTGTTTTAATTCTGTATTTGACATTGGTAGGACTGCTTCTGGAATACAGTGTCCAGTTCTAGTGTCCACAGTTCAAAAACAAGTTGATAAATTAGAAAGCTTTCAGAGAAGAGACAAGAATGATTACAGGATTTGACAACATGTATTGAAGAAGGGGTGACTTGATTATAGTTTATGTACCTAGAGAGTGAACAAAATTTTTATATAGGGATCTTCAGTCTAGCAGGGAAAGTTATAACACAACCCAATGGCTGGACGTTAAAGCCAGATAAATTCAGACTGAAAATAAGGCGTCAATTTTGTTTTTAAACAGTGAAGGTAATAATAAATCATTGGACCACTTAACCCATTTTTTGGTGGAGTCTCAATCACTGGCTATTTTTAACTGCACATGGATGTTTTTCTTAAAGCTATATTCTAAGGATTTCTTCAAGGAAACACTATGACCTATTCTGTAGAAATGGTCTGATTAGATTATCACAATGGACCCCATTAGTCTTGGAATCTATTAATTATACATGATCAGCTACTATTTTTTTTTTCAGTGTGATGCAAATGCCTGACACGTTTTCAGCCAGAATACGTAAAAATTTGGGAAAGTTTAAACAATTGAAAAAAGGGTCTCAATGGGTAGTTTCAGACAATAGTAATTAGTAATAGGCAGCACTCGCAGAGATGACTATAATGTTGTCTGATTTCCACCACCATGGCTTTTAGGATTTTTTAGTCATGCAGGCCAGTTTTATTTCTTGTATTCTTTCTGAATTTTACATCTTGTTTCCAGAGAATGGAAATGACAATGAGAATGCTAAGCTATTCTCTTCACCAATTAGGCAGGATTTTAAAATAAACACTGCATCTTTCAGTAGGAGCCAAGAGCTGCTTTGATTGACATCCAAAGGCTATGCTCCACTCACTTTGTTCGGTAAAAATAGGAACAATCACATTACATAAATATCTCCTAAAACTGACTATTATCACAACCAACTTAAAAACATGGGTACAAGTAAATGTCCACATATTAGGGATGTTAAATATCGATTAACTGAATAGTCGATTAACCTCAGGAATTCTTATCAGTTAATTGACTATTGGGTGAGGCTGGCAGCCAGTGCGCTCTGGCCCCACTCCCAAGGGGATTTCACCCACTCTGTGCTGCTGCCTCTGAATCAGAGGCAGCAGCCTGGTTTGCCAGGTGGGAGCGGGTCCACGAGCGGAGCCACAAGCGGAGCTCCCTTTGTGGATCAGCTGCCTATTGCGCTGCTGCCTCTGATACTGCTGAGCTCCCAGACCCGGCACGAGCCAGAATTGAGCCAGGCTGCCTGCCCACCTGACTCCTAATATACTTTAAATACAGAACTATAGCAGGGGTAGGTCCCAGATACACCATAAGCCAGGACTAAGCCAGGCTGCTGGCCAGCCTCCTAAAAAATGTATTGGGTTGGGAGGAATGCATGTAGTCTATAGCAGACGTGGCCAACTTAAATGGGCAGCCTCTTTTTAAAAAATTTTTTTTGCTCGACAATTCTGTTCCGGGTTTTTGGGTTTATTTGGTTTGACAATTCTGTTGCGGATCTCACATTTTTCCACTGTTGTTTCAGCTCTTTTTGTTAAATGGGTTGGCCACTCCTGGTCTATAGCATTAACTTACAAGCTTTTGTTTATTGGTTAATTGATTACACTATTACATCCCTCTGTAAACCTTCCATATTTGCTGAAAGAGGACAGGCATTTATCACTACCACAACACTGACGAATGAACTGATTGATATATTTTGAAATGTAATTGTATCTGTAGAATAAATACAAGCCAATGACAACCTGTATATCCCTCTGTAAAACATAGCTAGTTTTCTTCCAATTGAACAGTTCTGAAACTAAGTCCTTCAATCAAAACTTGTGTTAGGATTTCAATCATACTGCAACCTCAAGGATCAAACACCACAAAAATTACAACTATTACAATATACCGGGCTATTATGTGGTTCTGTAAGATATTAAAAATGAACTCTTTCTGCCAAAGGCTTTGAAAAGGCATTCTAAGTAATGAATGTGAAAGGTGATAAAAATGCCAATTTTTGATTCACAAAATCCACAATGTGGAAAAGCCTGCAGATTTTATAATTTATTTTTGTGTTTTCACGGCTGTCGTTACAGAAAGAAAAGCCAACTATGGCATCAAAAGAGGAAGTCATAATTTGTATCAGATAGAAGACTCCTTTATGAACAGTTCTGCTGTAGCTTAACATTTAATTGAAATCGTTTTTATCTTTTTTGTTCTTACAAGTGTGTAGCATGCACTGAAAACTGACTATTGAAGTTACAGAATTTCTTGAGAAATGTACATGAAACCCCACAATGTATCTAATTAATATAGCATTGTGAGAGCTTTTTTGTTTGCTCTTTTTGCTATAGCAAAAAAAAAGATTTTTTTTTAGCATCTCTCTTAGATGTGACACATGCAATTATAACAACCCTGCAATTAGGACTTAGTAAATAATTGTGTTAAATGTTTGAGCCATATCAGAATCTGGCTCATTCTTCCATAGTTATGTTGGTTCTGTGTGAATAAAATTGAACTATTGTAATTGATATGCAACCTTCCATGGATTCGGTCTTCCTATGTACTTGTATGCCTCCTAATACAAATCAGAAGGAGCCCTGTAAGGATAAAAAACGTGTATCTGCAACCAATCCCTGATCCAAAAATATGGATACAAAACAGATACTCACAGACTTGGAGGGCTCTAGAAATCAGACCCTGTTCCTACTAGAGGCCCTTTGACAATATAAACAAACAACATCAATGCCATAATTAGATGTGACAAAAGACAAAGTATGTTGCTTAAGAAGTTTCAGAAGTTTAAGAATTTAAGATTGATTGTATGCCAGTGTCACTTTTCTTCCGGTAAACACTTTAAAAAATACAGAAGTATTTTCCCTATGCATTAGGGAATCTTCCATTATACATAGAGAAGTGGCCACTAACATACTATAGCAGTATACAGTCATTCTCCAAGCTTACAACTATGGTCAGCAACTTCTGACTGAAAAATTTCTCAGACCCATTTCTGGGAGAGTCATACTATTTGCTGAATGAAATAGTATTATTTCAGAGTGATTACGGCTGAGATGGGAGTCTGTTATCCCACAAGTTGAGCAGCATTCTACCTCCATACAGTACATAAACACTTGGAAGGAAAGCAAAGGGACAATGACAGACCTTCTGTGTTACCTATTTGTCTTTCCAGGTCTGCAGCTTCATCTGGTGTTGCACGTGGGAGGACTCCAGGATCACTGAAACTAGTACGCAGCAGCGTCCCCATCACGAAAAAGAATAGAATTCCACCTACTGCAGGTATAGCAGGTGTAATCTTCTCTGACAAATATGGACAACTACAAGGGAGGAGGAAAAAGAAATAATTGTTATACTTCTATTATCATTAAATGTTCTCAGAAACTATTAAGTTACTTGCCATTAAAGATCTGTCTAGGTTAAGATTTTTCATACTATTAAGTTTATATTGGTTCAATATACTAAAAATTCAAAAAGTGTGACAACCACTGCACTGTTAAGTAATATTTTCTCTAATATAAGAAACACAGCCTTTGTTGCAGGCTATTATTGGTTCTTATACTGTCTCTTAGCATAAACTTTGTTTTAGAGTCTGATAATCAGTTGTAAGGCCCCTCTAGACTGTCTGTGCATGCCATGTACAGGAGTCGCTCCCAGCTCATGGTGTGGCATTTTGGGCCTGGCCCAGCTAGAGCAGCCCCCCACTGCAGTGTGGTGTGACAGGTTCAGCCCAAACAGCTGCTGCCTGTGGTACAGCATACTTGGCTTGGCCTGGCCAAAGCAGATCATGGTGCCCTGGGCCTGGCTGGAGAATCCCTACACCCACGGCGCAACATGGGCGAGGGGTTGCTTCAGCATGGCTGGGCCCAATGTGCTGTGCCAAGTGCGGGGGGGAAGAGCACCACATCATGCTGCAGGCGGGGGAAGCATTCTACAGCTAACCAGTTAACCACAGTGTTTAACCAGTTAACTTTTTAAAAGGAAGTTTACATCCCTATGTAATACATTGTAAGAAATGCAATGAATTCTACACAATGAATTACACTCTGCTATGCGAGGAAATACACAAGGAAATACATAAATAGCACATGCTTCCTTTATTTCCCTTGGGAAGCGTAAGTGTTAATGAAAATAGAATGTGATGCTTCAACCTAATTAAACTCACAATCATGCCTGTAAGTGTAAAGAGAAAAAAAGTAACCATTATCAGTTGCAGTGCAGAGTTTAAAACTCTGGTTGATCTTAGAACAACACTGGGTATTGATGGATCATTGTGGCATATCATCATCAACAACCGTGGACTCAATGCCCATTGGTGTACGATGCCTCCCACACTATTTCCTTCCATCTTTCCCTTTCCAGTGAGGAGTGGCTTAGTTTCTGTAGACTAGCTCCACATCAATCTACTATATCATCTACCCATTCTCTGTGGGGTCTGCCTCTCCTATTCGGATCACCCATTATGCCGAATACCAGGGTCTTAACTTTTCCCTCGTCATTCATTCTGCAGATATTCCCAAATAGCTGTAACTTCCATTGTATAACTTTCTGCAGTAGGTTCTCTTTCGGCTGTATCTTCCTATATAATCCCTTGTTGATGACTTTCTGCTTTCATCCTATTCTCAGGATCTTTGTAGAATAACTCCTCTCGAACGCCAATTTCCTTCTCTTCGAATCTTTCATTATCACCCATGTTTCGCATCCATACAACATGCTGCTAAATACACACGTTTTCAAGACACTCGGCTTTGTTCCTAAGCTAACTGCTTTTCTTTTCCAGATCTTATCCATTGCCTTCAAACTCATTCTTGCTTTCGCTATTCTAGTCGCTATTTCCTTTTTATAGTCTAGATCATACGTCATGTTGCTCCCCAAATACGTGAACTTCTCCACATTCTCTAGTTCGATCCCATCTACACTGATATTCCTTCCTATTTCCTTATCTCCATATATCACTGTCTTTGTTTTATCGATATTCATAATCAGTCCGTACCGCTTCCCTTCCTCATTTAGCACCTGCACCGTTCTCGCTAGCTTCTCTTCACCTTCCTCGAAGATAACTATATATCATTCAAGAATATCAAGTTGTTAATCCTCATCCTATGCATGGATATCCCTTCTACTTCTTCCTTGATCTTGTCCATCGCTCTCTCTAGGTGCGTGATGAAGATACTCGGTGAAATCAGATCACTTTGTCTCATACCTCTACTTGTTCTAAACCAACTTTCCAACTCTCTGCATGTTCTCAGCGCTACCTCCGCATTATTGTTGGTATCCTTCAACAACCGTATCAGTTTGCTATCCACACCGTACAACTCTAACACTGCCTAAGTCACTTTCTGATTTATACAGGCAGTCCCCGGGTTACGTACAAGATAGGGACTGTAGGTTTGTCCTTAAGTTGAATCTGTATGTAAGTCGGAACTGGCGTCAGCCGCTGCTGAAACTGATCAGTTTCAACCGCGGCTGAATCTGGACGCCAGTTCTGACTTACATACAGATTCAACTTAAGAAACCCAGGCGTCCCCAAGTCAGCTGCTGCTGAAACTGATCAGCGGCTGATTCCAGGAAGCCTGGGGCAGAGCA